TTATCATTTATTCACCTTATTATCTATAAATAAATTCGTTTTGCTCCAAAGTTGGAGGGCCAAAATTGACAATTCCAAAAATAATTGTAAAAATATCATCAAGATAAGGCAACATTTTCCAAGGTATCTTATTTTGACATATCTTGAAACTTTTGATTCTCTGAATAACGGGTTCTATGTGGAATCTTGCAGCAGTAATATTTTTGGTGTATTGATAATCAGCATACATAAATTGTTCATTTTTCCTAAATTTTAAAGGCATGTATAATTGAATATGATTCTTTAAACATTCTTCGTTAATGTCAAAACTCTGAAAAGTCATTACTGTGTCCACTTCTGGTCTTAATTTATCCATAATTCCACTCTGAGCCAAGACGTCATTGTCAGTTGTTCTTCCATCAAACATTTTTCCTTTACAAATGATCTGACCAGCTGGACTCATAGCAATCATAAATTTGACAATAGAAGTATCCTTGTAGAGTTTATTTGTGCTTAATCGACATTTTACACAGCTAGACTGTTGTACCGGGATTTCAATGCAATCCAGAATTACTCGGGTATTACTGAATTTTTCGAAACATTTTGGCATATTAGCCAGTACCTCATTTGTGTCTGGCCAAAAAATGTCATTTTTCAATATACTGGCTAGTTTGACAATCACTTTTTTAAAAACAATAGTGCATTTTTTTTCTGTCCAGGCAAATAAAACAGACAAACACGCAAACGACAAGTTTAGTTTAATTTTACACAGACAGAGAAAAATTTTTTCCGCAGCACCAAGGTCTCTTTGTGTTTCTGCTCCTTCGTGAGCATGCATGGCTTTTTCAAGATATTTGAACAATTCAAAATCGATACCCGTGAAAGCAATCAACTGCTCGTCTGTCTTGATTAAACTGTAAAGTGTTTTTCTTTTTTCTTCGAACAAACTGTTGCACACCGTTTCACCGTCTTTGTAAACGTGTTTTTTGTTCAATCCTAAGTCCATTAACTCAAAGAGAGACATGACAGCTACCGTCTCTTTTGAAAAAGTTACTTTTTCCATGTTAACTCCACCATCAACACAATCACTTGCATGTTGAATATTACCTTTCTTATCATTATTTACTGATGGCTCAAGTTTTACAGTAATACTACAAAAAAATAACGTTTAAGCATCCAGAAAAAATACATTATCTCTATGATTGAGTGATGTGATAACTATACCTTGGTTTTGCAGCTTCAGCTCTTCTCTTAGTTCTCTCATCACGCGCAGCAATGATTTCAAGTTTTTGCGGATCCTTCTGCGGTAGAAAATAGCATTTGGGCAGATTTTTCGATGGGAGAACACCAAGTTTCAACCTTGGCCGGTTGCTGGTACCTTTTTGAATGTGTATAAATAAATGTTGTTATTTCATGAAAAAAATTAAGTATTAAAGTGTAAAAAGTTTGTACTCACTTAAGGAACTCTTTGGAAAGTAATCTTCTTTGTTGAAGTGAAGGCTACAGATGCCGGAATGTTTACCCAATTTTTTAAGATTTAATTTGCACAAAGCGGCCCACTGTGCGCGAAATTGTTTGTGCTTTGGGAGCTCGTGAAATGATATTCCATTTTCAATAATACTTTTGCACGAGTGAATTGCACAATATTTACGTGTTGTCATTTTTTACTTTTTTACTATAACCAAGTAAAAATTGTAAGTTTAAATACGTTTTAAATTATAACTCGTCTATTATATATACAAAGTTTGGAACACGTGTGCGTGTGACCTCTTGTTTAGATTCTTAAGAAAACTTATGTACTTATATATATATTTCTGTTTTTAAAAGGACAACGATCCGTACATTCCGCAGCCGACGGCAGGTAAAACGATAACAGTGATTTATCGATCCCCATATGTCACCCAGTATGTTAAATAAGGTTAATCTTCCATAACCAAATGTAATTTTTTGAAAATAATAAAATATATTTATCTACATTTTTAAAAGGACAACGATCCGTACATTCCGCAGCCGACGGCAGGTAAAACGATAACAGTGATTTATCGATCCCCATATACTCGTCTTATGACTTGATTAATATTTTATTGCGTTTTTTTATTGTAATTTTAATATTTGTTTAGGTATCCCTTTCACAAACGACCTGGATCCCCCACCGGGAGTCAAATCATCAGCTTCTGTATTTGCAGAGATTAAGCGCATACTCTACGCAAAACCAAAATTATTTTCAAAAATCGTACCTATCCCCAAAGCGAAAACACCGATCATCAAGTTCACTTTTGTACCGACAAGCATTTCGTGCGATTTGTCCATCAAGAATAGTCTAGCCGTGCACAACAGTAAACTGATTAAGCACCTACTATCGATGGACGAACGATTACCAGCTGCTATGATGATCCTGAAATATTGGGTCGGCATAATTGAACTGCGAGGAGGAAGTAGGCTATCGAAATATGCACTGACCTTGCTTTTCATTTTCTACTGTCAGCAGCCGGCGGTAAATTTCATGCCTACTGTTTTCGATTTAAAAAAATCGATCCCGGCTAAAATTGTGGAAGGATGGCAGGTCAATTTCAACAGCAGTGTACGGCTGAAGAATACTTCAGACACGAACATTGCGCAACTACTCGGCGGATTTTTCGATTTCTATGCCAACTACAACTTTAAGCTGAACGTCGTTTGTCCCGTGGACGGTATTTCGCATAAAAAAATAATCCTCAACTCTGTGGAAACGTTGCCGGATAGTATGCGCTTGTACAAAGAGTACTTGAAGATACGAGAAAGTGCCTTTACTTTCCCTCTGACGAAGCCCATGTGCGTACAAGATCCAAACGAATTGAACCACAACGTCACAGAAAGCATCAGTGAAAAGTACCTCGAGATCTTTCAAAATTACTGTAAATTGGCTGCAGCTGCGTGCCAGGCCGAAGCTACCAACAATTACAAAAAGTTTCTACTATCCCTTTTTAATTTGAACGTCACCGTGCCGAAAACACCTAAAGAGTCGCAAGTGATTTCATTTGTTTATTATTGCAACAATACCATGGAAGTTGGTCTTCCGGATGATTTCAATACTCGCACAGATATCAAAGACAAAGATGTATTTGTAAAAGAACATTGGTGTGATTTAGTCATAAGTTTAGTACAAAAATTCCTCGAAAGGGTTCTCAAACTTCAAGTCCAGTATATTGATAAGCAAGAGCTTAAGCAGCCGAAAGTCGAATCAGAGTCCGATGTGCACACAAATGATCAGAGTAAAGTGATTTTGCGCTGTACTGGAGATTCTTGTCTGTGGAGGGATCGAAAGGGTGGTACAGTAAGCATCGATCCATCTCTGTCTCTACTCGAAAAGGAAACATTGATAACTCAAAAAATTTATGATCAGTTGAAATCCAAAAACAGATTGCATAATGAAAAAATTGACGTGGATTGTAACATTCTAAAGAAAAACGTAAAGAAACCATACCTTTTATTTAAATTATCGAATCGTGATTCTAGCAAGGTAGCTTTCAGTGAGGCCACATCATATATTAAAAGTAAATTACCTGTAATATTAGATAAAACTTTGTTTCACATGAAACATTGAAAAAAAAAATTGTTCCATGAGGAGCGACAAAAATCGCTAAAAATGAGCTTTCGCAAATTTTTGAGCCACTTACGACAGAATTAAATACATTCTTTTTAATGGAGAAATTGAAAAAACTTTTTTTTTTTTTTTAATAAAAACAAACTTTTTGGATGAAATTATAAATACGATTGTTCAACTCAATCAGTTTCGAAAATGAATGTTAGAAATACATATATATTTTTGTCTTGTCGATGTTAGTAAAAAATAAGATACGTCAGTGCAAGAGTACGTATTTCTTAAAATATGTTAACTTTTATTAGCATGTAAAAAATACTCAAAAGTTATTTTCAAACATTTTCAAAACGTTCTCGCGCTCAAGTATCGAGTATCAAGCGTCGTTACAATTTTTGCTTTATCAAAGTGACAATGATCTCTACATTGCACATTATCTTCCATACCAACACTATGTACAAACTGTAGGCTTTTCCTCGTGATCAACAATTCTCTATAGATATCGAAAGAACTTTTACAAACCGTGTACTCAAACATTACTCGCTCCTATAAAATCATCTCCAACAAGTTCTTGCTTATAAAAATATAATTAATATTGCTATTAGATCTCTCTCTCTCTCTTCCTTTTCTTTCATTAAAGTCGTTAAGTTATTGCGTTTAAAATTGTATGTACAAGTATAGCAAAATATAACAATTTATCATGTATTAAACAACTATGCTATTCTGAACTAACGGAGTGATGTTTGGAGGGATCGTAGTTGGATATATATGTACAGGTAAGTCCCAGACCATGGTCTCGACATCGACGGTCGACGGTGCTTGCCAGTAAGTCGACTCGGCATTTGGAAACTCGATGGGTTTCACCGCCGTGACGAACTCAAAGTGCAATCGCCATTTCAGAGTGACCAGCTCGGTGCTAAAGTCAGGTGTTATGTGAAAAGGTATTGGCAGCATCAGTTCGGTGCACAGATAACTGGTGACTATGTAATGCTTGTTGTAGCTGTTCAGGGTTGTGGCGGACTTTCCTCTTTTGTAATCTTCGGCTATGTGTTCCTCAGACTGCAGAGTTACCGACACCTGGGTGCACGAGACAGTCGCGTTTGAAAAGTCGAACGTTCCGACGATGTCTTCTCCAAGTTTGTAGGAATGTTTGAAAAGGCAAAATCTCACAACTCTACCACGACCGTTTGTTATATTGTAATAATTAGGACTACGTCTTGCTGTTATGTTCTGCAATTATTGTAACGATAAGTTGCTTGCTTTGATTTATTCATTTCGAACAAAAAGAAAAAAAAAAAGTACATTAAACTTACTTGAAGTGTTTGCATCACAAGTTCAACCGGTGACTCCTTTTGCGTTTCTGAAAAAGGGCCATTGGAACTCGGTTCTAAGCTATCATTGCAGGCAGCAAGATCAGGCAACTCTGGAAAAAACACATTTAGATCAGACCATGAAATAAGCTTGGATTAATCGTTGTCAGGAAAAAGAAAAAAATCAACACAAGATACCTTTTAAAGACAACACTCTGAATGGTATCCTTAACAATTTGATTGGTGAATTGACGCGCTGAGCTCCTATAGTTATTTTATAAGAATACTTAACAGCCTGTCCTCTGTACGAGGGAGGTGAATCACTTGGAATGGTTTCTTTATATACAACTAAGAAATAAAAGTAGAGTTCATACAATAACACAGCTCTAAGATACAAAAGGATCACAAAAATTTTATACTCACAAGATTTACTCTCTCCTGGTGACAACTTTAAATCACAAAATAAGATTTTAGGCTTACTGTTCAACACTGCGTGTCCATTGTCACTTGACGATGGTGCAAACGTAGTATCTGCATAAATGACGCAAAGAAATTACAGTCAAACGATTGAGCATGTGAAAAATAAATAAACAACTAATAAAACGTACCAGTATTAACAGCAACGGGTTTGGTATCTTTTTTAATTTTATCACCAGCAATGAGTTTCTCGTTTATCGAACACTGACAGTGTATCTGAACACTGGCCCAGGCAAGATTTTCAGATGGATCACTGGAAAAAAGAACACCAGCAATAATCAGCACACACAAAGCTCCATCTTTTTCTTAAGAACACAAAATAAAGAAACACTGGAAACCTGTTAGCTTGACTTTCGTCATTGCTGGCCAAAGTCGTCGAGTTGGCAGATCCAGCCGGACAGCTGAAAGTGACCATGCACTCGATCACTTCGTTGGAGAAGAAAGTCGAGCCGTTCATCAATTTCGCGGTGATCTCGATCATCTCGGGGACAAGAGCAGTGTCGAGTCAACGACGCCGCGCTCTTCTCGTTGTGTGATTCAGTCATCAAAACTCAAATTGAATCTCAAACAACCATCCGGCTCCTGTGATGCAAAAACAACGGCAGAGTTTGCTCGGCATAACCTCCGTTGTCGTCGTCAGCACACCGACTGCTTCGAAGACGCCTGATGCTGTAAAATATATGCAAAATTATGCAATAACTATATATACCAGTGTATATATACTAAGCATGGATGATTTATTTAAACATGCAGCTCGGATTTTTTTTTTTTTTTGCAAGAGATATACGCACACGATTACCGTCCGCTGCTCGACTCATTGAGATGAATTCAATATTGTTATCCGTTCTTGGTTTTTCGTGACGAAGCTTTTCAAAAGCTCGAGCTTTTTTCGCCTCCTCTTGCCTCGTCTTGTCGTCGTCGTCCAACTCATTCCACGATGACGACGATCGAGAGACGAATGGCGTCCACTTTGATTAGTTTAAGTTTAAAGTCGGTTAAAGTAACGTTCTAAATGTTCTAACGGGAATGCGAACCTATATCTAATCCTACGCACACCAGGATGACGAAAAGTAAAAAAAGCTGGTGAAGGGAGATAAAAAATTTTTCTTGAACTGCCGTGTGTATATACTTACAGTATAAGTAGGTAGTGTAACGATTAATCGTTTGAATCGTTTCTTCTTAAATTTAATTACAAGCATGAACTCACACGCAGACCGTCACAATTTTTGTTTTTGAAAAACTATAAAAGCCCATCAGCGTTTGTGTAGTGTCTGTCATATAGGGTATATTAGATTTGTTCGATTGAGGTGTCCGGAGTTCGGAGCGCTCCGAACAACTCCAGAACCATTATAGTGGCTCAAAATTCGTTAAAGAATCGTTTAAAAAAAAGTTGGTAAGAGTCTACACGTCATTCGTGGCCATTTTCCCGAAAGGGCCTTTTATCAGTTTTTTTAAAGTTTCTCCAAAAGTTTGCTATCGACCTTTATGAAATTTAGTATAAGTATTGAGGATTATAAAACACATACTCTATCAACATCAATATATCTATCACATTTCAAATGTTAATATTTGATAGAACGCAAGTTATATAGATTTTCGAAAAAATGGTAAAAAAAAACGCGATTTTT